GTGTGTGTGTGTGTGTGTGTGTGTGGTTAACAGGCAAAAATAGAGGAATGGGAATAAGTGGCGGAAGAAAAAATGAGATGTGCGAGTTACAGAGAGAGCCAGTGAGATGAGGAAACAGGAGATTGAACTGTCAGCAGCTTGACTTAAGCTTTTTCCTTTTTTTCCCCAGTATGGAGATGAGACGCGACTGTGTGTGATTTTGACTGTGTGTGCGTGTGCATGAGCTAGACAACTCCATCCTGTTTTGAAGTAACCTAATCTAGGATGGAGACCTCCCTCCCACCCCCCGAAAACCTCAGAAGACCGAAACTCTAAATCCCTAATAACTGGCCTTTGTCGATCCTAAATTACCCCTGTGTCACAAACACACACACATGCAAAGAAAGTGCGCTTTGAACATGCTTAGACTCGCAGTTTAGTTGTATGTAAGGAAAGACTCCTGCCAGTTTTACATGAACGATATCCAGACTTGGTCACTGAAGGCTTTGCCACCCGTTTGCTTTTGTTCGCCAGGTGCCGGGCAGAGGGGCAGATCACCGTCTGACACCACGCTATGAAGAGGTGGAACGCCAGTATGCCTCCTTACCGAGGTACAGCATCTTCTCCTTCATTTGTATGAACATCACTGCTGCGTGTTCTGCCGTCCTTCTTTTCTCTTCCTGTAATTAAGCCATTCGTCTCTGGGGGCTGTGCCTCAGCCAGGACCTCACCTTCCCCCTTCCCCTGGGAAAACAAGCTGTGTACAGGCTTGGAAACCGATCTGCTCCCCCTTCAAACTGCTGTTACTTCAGCATGTGCTCGGAGGCTTTTCGAGAGCCTGCGATGTGTCGGGGGTTTAGTGAGCTAGCTGTTGGGCCACTTCTACCGCTTTCTATGAAATTTCACATTAAATTTTAAGAAGATTTAAGAAAATAGTTTTGTGTGTTATTAGCGACCTGAAGTGTTAGACTTCAGTTTTCCTTCTGGCCGCAGAAAACTTTGCTCACGTTTAAAACAGGGAAACATAAACACTCAACTGTGCTTTATTATATTGCTCTGCATTTTGTTGTTTTGCTCCCTGGACAGCATGAAATATTGCTAACATTAGCCAACAGCAAGAACAATAGCAGCTCCCCGAGTATATTCATCAATTCTTGAAAGATTATTTCCATTTATTTCTCATTATGTGTTTTCTGATTCACTCAGATATCCTGCTGCCCCTGGAAGGCCGCAGTTGTGCAAAAGTATAATTTGCTGGGAGCATGTACGAAGGCGCAGCTGTTCGCTGGCTATTTAAACACGTTAACCTCAATGTGAAACACAATCACAGCTAAACTACATTCTCCGGCTATCATCAGTCACTACCGGTTTTCAGCATCTTATTTTTTATTTGCCACTTTCTCTTTCAGGAAGGCCTCAGCTTTAATTCTCCCCTCTTTCTTCGCTCCTTCGCTATCTTAACATTTTATTTTTCCCCAGACTCTCCCCTCCCGGGACCTTCTCCCTCCCCTCCCGCTCATGTCTGATGTCTTACTCATCCACACGTACTTTATTCAGTGTCATTTTTTCTCATTGCTTTCCCGAGAGGAACAGCGCTGCAGTAATGTGTTTTAGCAGGCTGGGTATCAGTGTATCATAACCTCATCTCTAAATATAAAACTTTTTTTTAAAGTGAAAATGAAAGTGTAAACTTTGGCAGTAAAAACACAGACTAGTTGTTACTAGCTCCTTCTAGCCTCTGACTACGACACCTCAGCAGACCAACAAATGTTCGTGTGGGGATGTTAGTCAGAGAAAGAGCGAGAGAGACGAGGTAAGCTAAGTGGAATGACAGAAGTTTAGAGCGTTTATAGTCGGGTTCCCACCCCTGTTAAAATACTGCAGGATGGCTATTTCACACCTCTTCTGTGTGTGTGTGTGTGTGTGTGTGTGTGTGTGTGTGTGTGTGTGTGTGTGTGTGTGTGTGTGTGTGGGTGATGACTTTGGCAGATGGAGGCGAGAACAGTGATGATAGTTTTGAGGTCTGGCTGTGGTATCTGAAAAAGCCTTGGGAAACTGGACACACACTCACTCACATACAGTACACCCCATCTCCGTTTGCACTCGCACACATGCGCCGTAATCCGTAAATACTGCGCCAATTTTACACGTACGCATCATGTTTGTAAGAGGCTGCGAGATACTTTTCATGGGAATGGCTCCAACAGTGTTCCAGCTTTCAGCGTGGTAACGATCCCAAGACCGTTTGACGGATTACTGCATCTGACGAACTACAGCGAGGACCTGGGGCTTTTGAGAAACCTTACAGTGACTCATGTGATAAAAATACATCTGGAAATTGGTCCAACCTGTTAAGTAAAGAATTGCTACATACATCTACATTTTTTTAAAGAAACATAAATGATCAGTTTCTAGTGTTTTGAGCAGATAAAGTAAAAAAACAGAAGCCCCAGCTGTTAATTAACCTGCTGTTTCTGGTCAGTTCCGTCACACATTGAAAAGCAGGGATTAAGAGTCACAGCAGGGTTTGGACATCGCAGCGCAGCCAACGTTATTGTGACTGTGTGCAGTGAAGTTGGCTGGGGCTCAAAGTGGCAGTTAGATGCAGTCTGTGTGTGATAAGACAGTGAATTACTGCAACGAAGCTGCACAATATTGCACGTGTTGCATCCAGCCAGGACCTCGTAGAGCTGAGATTCAGAAATTCCTCCAGAAATTGTGACGTAGTTGTTGCAGGACGGCAGCACAGGTGCTCAGATCCCTCGCTTTCATATGGGAGTAAAACCAGTTGAACCGAGTCACAGAGGCGCGTCGTAGACGAGACACGCTCATCGATGTTAACCTGGTTGTATGATTTGAATCTGAATCCTTCTCTAATCGGTGACCCGAGCAGTTGCCTTGTAATCAAAAGCGGCTGCTGCAACCACTCGCAATCAGTCACCGACTCCAAAAAGCCACCCGTTTTTCCAAGCTGCACGGAGTGGGTCTTCTTTTACCCTAGTGTGCCTGAGCCTTTATTCGTTTTTACCCGTCCCTCTTATATCCATGGACTACATCACTGTGTGTGTGTGAGTTCAGCTGTGCTCAGTATACATTAGTTTGTCTTCATGCTGCAGTGACAGATAAATAAACTGTCCCTCGTGTCTCCTGCTGAGTGCAGAGTTGCACATGCACAGCAGTGTTGTCCTTTCCGTGCTCAGGTAGCGATTAGCTTTGCTGCAGGTAGGTGGCGCTATATAAATCAAGCGTGCAGTTGCTCTGGCAGACCCCAGCAGAGTACCAGCTACTACTGTGGGATTAGAAAATATAAGGAAACCATAGACAAGCATTCGATTTTACACTGATTTCTACTGATTTATGTGTCATGTTGCTACATGCAGTTAGCTACACACAAGCTAAAGAGAGCCATATTATCACAGGCTTGTTGATCGGTCACTGATTATGGCTAATCAGTTGGCCTTTTACATTCGTGTGAATCACCCCTTGCTCTTCCAGGTCTCTCATGAAAGATTTCCAATATTGTATATTAAACCTCTCATATTTGAAGTAAGTCAACCTGAAAACGTTTCCCCTTTCAGAGGTTTAAGTCAGATAGAGGTGTGATTCTCTGCCTCAGCCTTTCCGTCTGCACTTCTTCCTCTGCTGTCACTTAACTTTAAAGATATTTCAGCGTCTAGAGAGGCCGAGATCATGTTTGGAAACTGCATCCTTGCTGCTGACCTTACGAAAACATATTATTTTGCGACTGTCCCAGAAATAGCTGACAGGCTGTGTGTATCTAATGTCTGCATTCCTGTTTACCTGTGTGCATGTGTGGGTAGAGTCCAGAGAGCAGAGCGGCTGCTTATAAAGGTACTGTATGTGTGACTGAACATCAGTCAGCCGGAGCACTGAGTACATTATGTCAGTGTGTGCGTGCGTGCGCTGTTAGATGGGATTTTGATGGCTCTAAAATTAAAACATGACCCAGCAGTGGATGATGTTTCCCTGCCTAAAGCGCAAACACTTTACCAAACAAGCTGTCAGCAAATGTCACTGCTTGAAATAGGAGGGGAGGCTGCTCGGGGTATTTTGTATATGTTGGTACTCCATAAAATTGTTCACTGTGATGATATTTACCAAAAGATAAACAGACTAAAGCACTAATTAAACGTGCTTTTACTTCAAACGTGATCCATTCTCGGGCTGCTCAGATTCCTCAAGCCAAGCATTCGTTTATCTGACAACATGTGCTGTAACTAATGAGAGAAACTGAAACCTGCGCTGGAGCGGTCCTGTCGCTACCTAGAGAGCCATTCCTTTTAAGGAGCGTGGCCTCATGTATGTTTACTACTATGAGAAGTTCGCATAAAGGTGGCGCAAAGGGGGCTGTGATTGGTCAGTTCATTGTTAGCTGTACATGATTAGACACCAACCCGAGCATCAGGAAGGAAGAGACACAAAAACACTGACGCTGCCTTGCTTTTAAATCTTGTTTAAAATCAAATCAAATAGATACAACTGAACCTCGTAGGTTAGAATAACCCCAAAAAGTGAATCTAGAGATCACAGAGGCCACGTCAGGTTAGGCTTTCAAAATTCATACATGCTCAGCGACTTTGTGATGCAGTGTTTTAGCTGTTATTATGCTGAACCAGTCTAATGGCAAATGTTAATGTGTGTCGTATTTATTCCAGGATCTTCATCCAGTTCGTTTTAATCCTTCAGAAACTTGCAGCCCATTTAAACCAGCATGCATCTGACACTTAATGGTCTGTGCTTGATATTCACAAAATATCACCCTTAATTATCGCATTTTTCCTTGAACAGTTGAGAGATTTGGAAAAGGGAAGGACCGAATAGTGTGTCCTTTCACTTAAAACTTTTCTCCTACTGCCATGTGCCTGAAATTTCCCCTCACCCCTTTCCCTTCTTCTTCTTCTTTTTCAACATTTCTTCTACGTCTCTGCTCCCATCTTACTTTTTCTCTGCACACTTATGTTAGTGAACCAAAGCACCATCTCTGTGCCGCTCACATGTAACGGCGTGAGAGTAAAACCAGAACGTCAGTCTCTGTGCGATTAGGACAAGTTTGTGGTTCAGTTTCTTTACTGTTGGAGACTGATTGAATGGAGTTGTGGCACCAGGTTGCCGTCCATTGACTGGTCACTGTCTAATTTATAGACAGAAAAACTGCCAAAACATAATAATAATGGATTGCATTTATATAGCGCTTTTCGGGGCCCTCAAAG